CTGTCTGGTGTACTGTAACATTCCATGCCCATCTATGCTTCTTGGTAAGTAGAGTCTGTAAGCGTTGCTGCGTGGATGAAGGGTGTGATTCTTTGTCATTATTTTTCTGGTCTTCCTATCCAGGGCTTCTAGTTCTGCTTGAGTCCAGTCCACTATTCCATCTGTATATCTAATGACTGGAATTGCCCAGGTGTTAATTGCCTTGATGGTATTTCTTCCACTGAGTTTGGATTTTAAGATCTTCTTCACTCTCATGATGTATTCACTCCTAAACTTCTTGACTTCAGTGTGTTTGATGTTGTCAGCTTGAAGAACGCCCAGGTATTTATAGTGATCTTCTTCATCCAGACTCTTGATGTTATTTCCATAGGGCACCTTGATTCCTTCAATTTTAACTATTTTTCCCCTGTATGGCACACTTATCCAGTACAAACTCCATTGCAGTATCTTGGCTGTATGTTTGGACAGTGTTGAGGAGCGATTCCATTTCAGATGGTGTTTTTCCATACAGTTTCAGATCGTCCATGTAAAGGAGGTGGGATAGCCTAGTAGATGTTTTTGATATTTGGTAGCCATGACCTGACTTGTTCAGTATTGTTGACAGAGGAATCAATGCAATGACAAAGAGTAGTGATGATAGTGAGTCTCCTTGAAAATTCCTCTCTTGATGTTAGCATCTCTCAGTCTATCACCATTGTCCAGCAACTGTGTCTTCCATTGTGTCATTCTTCTGATGTTTCTACTGACTTCTGATGTTTCTACTGACTCCTCTTATTTCTAAGCACTTGATTATCCAGTCATGTGGCAGGGAATTGAATGCCTTCTTGTAGTCAATCCAAGTTACATTCAAGTTGGTCTTCCTTCTCTTACAGTTTTCCAAAATTACCTTGTCAATTAGGAGCTGATCTTTTGTCCCTCTACTGTTTGGGCAGTTTCCTTTCTGCTCAGGTGGAAAGAGCTTGTTTTCAACTAGCTGCTGTTGGACTGCATCAGCTACAACACTAGTTAGCAATTTGAAAGTTGTTGGCAAGCAGGTAATTGGCCTGCAGTTGCCTGGTTCTGCCCCTTTTGCTGTATTTTTCATTATCAGGTAGGTTTTGCCAGATGTTAACCAATCTTCAAGTTCACCTCCTTGCAGTGTGTTGTTAAACTGGCTGGCAATGAGTGGGCGCAGACCAGTCAGATGTTTCAACCAAAAACCATGCAGTTCTTCTTTACCTGGTGCTGACCAATTCTTGATCTTCCTTGCACTTTTCTCCACTTATTTCTGCTGTTATTGCAAATTTTTATTATTACTT